TGGGGGGGGGGGGTTAACAGCTGAACGATAAAGCCTGGAGACCTTCATTATGCACTCATGAGGCATGAAGTAAAACAAAACAAAACAAAACAAAACAAAAGGGGGACTCTTCAACCACCCCCCCTCCACCCTCACATCTTTCAACCTTTCACTAAATATTTAGCCAAGACCACTCCATCTGCAATTAGCACTGCCGCCCACAATGGGAAGCCTCTTGAATAGCTGCGGCAGGCAAAAGAGAGCAAGAGAACCCTCACAAAAGCCTGCTGTGCCCCCTCCGGTGCTGAAATTCTCACACACGCCCGTGCTTATGTATGAACAGTCATATCATCAGATCACACACGATGACTAATGTATGTTTTTTGTATTTTAATTTTTGACAGCTGGTCCACAATGCTGCAATTATAAGCAGCAGCACAACGCTTAGGATGGACATTTGCCGCTTCATGGGGGGGCTTTGTGTGCACAGGGCAAGGGCATGCAGTGAACAAACTCATATGGATCTGAACACAGAGCACCATAAGGGAACGGTGATCTGGTCCACCACATGGCACTGGAGGAGCTACGGGGTAGAAAGAGGTTCCATAGAGACCAAATAGGAAGACATTGATTGGAATAAATAGAAAGCATGGATGGAGGATGATATCTACGGCCGGGAGCTCGACGAAGAAAAGGAAAAAGCAGAGCAGTGATCACTCGGATCAAGGCTGGTATTGTTTACAAATGATCCCACCTCCCCCGCAACAACACAATAAGTCAATGCTTAGTAGAGAACAGAGTCCCTTTATTGCTGAGGTTCTGCCCCCTGTGCCTCTCCACTGCGAGGACCTAACATGCACTGAGGTCATGCCGTGCTTCTGCTTATGCGCTAACGTACACACAACGTAAACACTGCATCTACTGTGTGGATGGCAAACATTAAACACCATGCTCACACAACTTTGTAAATGCTCAGATCAGCAACCCTTTCGCGAATGTTTGTGGACACGTGTACCACATGTACCAGTGTAGTGCTGTAGTGTGTGAAAGCAGGGGAAACAAGGAGGATCAGGTAAAGAGGGATCATGAGGAATACAAATGCAAATGCAGAGATGGATGTTGAGAGATGGAAGGAGGAAGTAATCTAGGAGGGCTGTGAGGGCCTCAGCTGGACTGATCCCGGCTTAATGAAGTCCCCGAGGGCCAGAAAGACTGGATGGTACAGCGCTGACAATGCATGCTGCCAGACAGAGGAACAAGCTCTCTGACACACACACACACACACACACACACACACACACACACACACACACACACACACACACACACACACACACACACACACACACACACACACCCCCCACACACAACCCGGACCACACACACACACACACACACACACACAGGAATGTGCTACCTCTGTGTTTAATGGTCACATACGCCACATCCCAATTGTTTTTGATTTGGTGCACAGAAGCAAAAGCACTTAATTGTTTATGAGAAGCACAACTTATTGGACTGAAGGAAAAATGGATAGCAGCTTTAAGAATTTTGCTTTTTTCTTGCTTATTTTATGTGTTACTTTTATTACAGTAAACTGAATATTGCTTTTTATTGCTTGGCGAGATGCAACAATCAGTTATTTTGATTATGTCATTAGATCAACACTTAGAAAAGACAAGTTGCAGGCCTAAATGCCTGTTTGCTTTTCACCACAAACTACAACTAGTTACAATGTATATTTACCCATGCATAGATTAGAGAGATTTAAATAATGTAAGAAATGCATGTATCTACTACCACTACTGGGATTGAGATAAATATGCAAGTATCTGAGATACTCCACTGACTTTGCTGATTTATGCAAAGATTTAAGAATCTTAGAGGGTCTGGTGTGAAGCGAATATGGAAACGGATAGTTGATTGGTTGTTAGAAGATTTGTATTCATCCTTTCACAACAAAAACCGCTAAATGACGGGGACTGAAGAGAAATATATGCGAGAAAATTCTGTTTTCGTAAGGATGCTTTCTTTGAAGCTGCTTTCCTGTTTAAGTGATGTTATCCTCCCAAGCAGAGAGACAAAACATGCCTTTTTCAAAAGTACACATGCCGTCATGTTTGCCTGCGAGTATCTTTTTTCTGCAGCTCCTCTAAAGGATAAACCGGGTCAAGGGCTTTCTCCAGCATGCCAATCTTAAAATAGCTCGCTCTCTCACGCCTCCTACATGGAAGGGCCCTCGGATACGGGTTGTTAGCCAAGCAAAAGGCAACATTGGAAGCCAAGGCTATAATAAAAGGGAAGATTGACAGAGTTACATATAGTATGTGCAGCCTGACTAATCCCAGCTGCCCTGGGGCCATCGAGGGTATGTGCGCGCTGCGGTGTTGGTATAGCGGAGGTGGAGGAGGTGAACGCATGTGCACCGGAGAACAACGAGCAGGGCACATAGCAAGAGGAAAGTTAGACAGAAGAAAGAGTGAGCGCTGAACATTTGTGGTTAACAGAGAGCTGGTGTTTAATCACATCGCAAGACGTCCCAGTCCTCTTTGAGGGGATTCCCAAGGCTCTTTTACAGCGTCATCAGCAGACTTAAAGAGCACATCAAGTCTAGCATACGTTATTCGCACATTAGCTGAACTGTTATTGTTGGTGTCAGCCTCTGTTGAGCCAGTACAATGCCTAATGGTACAAACAAACTTGATGATGTTGCTTCATGGGCTTTAACTAGGGCTTAAGACAAAATGCAAAAGGGAGACGCATCAAATCCTAAGTGCTACATGCGACACAGTATAGGACTACAAGCCGGTTTGTTTAGTTAAAAGTCAGACTAAAATAGGATTGCATCATGGTCACACAAAGACTTCTCACTTTGAGTGCACGCACACAGGGATTTCCCTGACATGTAACTGAATACCCTCAATGGGAATGACCTTTATCTTCATTAAAAAAGTATTCCAGTGTAGGGCATATGGCCTGCAGTAGATGGTGGCAGGCGTGCCCACAGTTTGGAGAAGCAGACAGAAGGTACTGCACAGAACAAACGCAATGCACTGCTGTGGCAGCTAGTACACGCATTTTAGCCATCTAAGAAAGAACATCTACAAAAACAAAACAGGTTTCGGTGCATGATACTCTATATTTACAATATTTTCACCGCTTTATCTGTAGCTTCTTAGCTATACCTACTTAGGTTCATTCGAATTCACCAAAGTCACATAATAACACAGACAAACCAAATGATGTAGCAGTATACACTCCCATGTTCTGTGAGGAAAGAATACTGAGTTTTATTTCTAATGGAGCCTGGGGCTAACTGCTGCAGTTCCCTGTCAGAGACATGACTGTATTGCTGTCTCATGGCAAGGCAGAGCGGTGAAAATATTCTAAATATAGCCAACTCGTAAACTGATATCATTTTTTTTGGTGAGCTCTCGTTTAGGTGGCTAAAATAGGTTTTGCTCACTGCCCCGTCCAGAAGTAGCACATTGCTTTGCTCACGTGTGGTAATGAGGGCAGGCTGGCGGTAAATTAACTGTAGGTAATACACTTACTATAAATTAGTTCCTAATACTCCCCCACTTCAAAGCATCTAAACTATCGAATGTTGATTATTAACAAGCTTGTCGCTGTTTTAAAGTTGAGAGATACTATATTTTTAAAGCAGAGCAGAGACACATAAAGCTAAGACTGCATAGGAAAAGATTGTTTGTGTTTACATGCATGCAGCATGTGTATATTTGTCGACACACAGACCATGTTTATCAGCTCTACTTTTCAAGAGAGCCAACATATGACTGAGTAATAAAAGATGGGGAGAGGCGAAGTGGAGTCAGCGGAAGGAGAGAAGAGGGAGAGGGGAGGGAATGAATGCAGCTAGTGTACTTCTACTGTTAGTTCTTTGCCAGAAATTAAAGTAGGGAGGGGGACTATCACTCTGTTAGCAGATAAGGCTCTAGGGACAGTGATGAAGTTGAGTTAACCTGTGGTGTGCTGAATGCAAGTTCACGAACCACAAACTAAACAGTGAGGTTTTTCAAATGCGACTTTAGATAGTCGAAGAGACACGTAACAAATCTTAAAGTGAGAGAGTAGAGCGTCATGCTCACGTGCAAAACTTCTCTGTGCACCAGTTCTGCATGCAGACTGTGCAGAGGGATATATATGAATACACCTCCCGCTGGACTCCTATCTGTCTATCAGTCTGGAATGTCCTCATGTCTATTTGTCCTAATGCAATCCGTCAGTTCAAAGACGCAAAGAGAGGAAAAGCAGAGCCGAACGGGCCTGCCAGAGAGGGGCGGAGAGAAGCAGCAGCTTTTACCGTAAGCCATGAGTCACTTCAGCCCACAGTACTGGACCTCTGCCATGCTTTCTCTCTCTCTCTCTCTCTCTTTCTCTTTCTCTCTCTCTGTCTGTCTTTATTTCTTCCTTTCCTTCTCACTCAGTCTTTCTATCAGTGCCAGGGCAGGCCTACTAAGGCACCCGGCCAACCAGCTCGCTGCATAAAGCTCCTCCTCCAAATACAGGAAATACTGTAGGGCTGGTCATCAACTCTCAACGATGAGTGGGAGGATGATGATGATGATGAGAGGGAGGAGGAGGAGGAAGAGGAGAAAGAAAGGCGGAGGGGGTAAACATCTCATCACCATGGAGATATAGCTGGATAAAACAGCATCAGATGGGTTAGATGATAGTCAGACACTTGTGATAAATGTTTTTCTTCCCAGACAATGGAAAGTGCCATCCTTATCTTCAATTAGCACGTGATGCGTTCTTCAGAAAAGAATAGACCTTTATCACTTGGAAACAAATAAAAACGTAATGTGTTACTGTGAGACGAAGAGATATACACACACACACACGCATACATAGCTATCTGTGTTTACTCTCCATCCTCTACCCCTCTATACCCATTTACAATTCCCAGCCAGGCAAAGGCAGAGTGAAAATAAACAGCAGCACCTGCCGTCCCACGGGTCCCGAGTACACTGCACTGTTACAATCACAGCACCATATGAAAAGTAGATAAAGCCACTGTCATTCAAGAGTGCCAACGCCAGAATATACACAACACCACTCCTACGCAGAGCTGATAAGATTCAAACAACTGCCAGGTTGTGTTGGAAATAAGAACGGCAACATCATGTGTACAAAGAACCCCTATGTGAAGCTTTTGTTATAGGGCTGTGCACAAGAGTTAATTAAAGCTTGTAGTGTGAGTAAACACACCTACAGTAATAAAAACAGATGGTCTGTCCAGTTTACAACTACCCTGTTTGATACTTGATTCCACTCACCTCTCCTACCCCAAATAAATATACAGAAAGTGACTCACAGCCACCTTTAAATCTCCTACTTCTACCGCCACCTGTAAAGAAGCCCTTTTGCAATACACAATAATTGCATTTCCTTACAAAACCTTTTGCAGAACGAGAGGAGTTAGAGATAGCGACTCGCCAACAGATAGTGTCTCGGCTGACCTGTAGGCAGGCTGGACGTGGAGGAAGAGGAGCAGGAGGGAGAGGAGTGTGTGGCTACTGCTGCTGCGGGTTCAGTAGTGGCGGGACGTCCCGTCGTGGTGAGGGGCAGAGTCCCGGAGGGTAGAGGCTGGCCCCTCTTCAAAAGCTGCTTGTGCTCCTGCTGGCGGAAGCGGGGGGGCACCTCTCGTGGCGGGTAGCGCTGCTGTGGCAGAGTCTGCTGTGCTGTCTGCGGCTGACCTCCAGAAGGGGCGCGCTTGCCATTGCCACTGCTTGGGGGCACAGACGGGACGGCACTGGGGTTGACGGGGGGAAGAGGAGGGGTGGGGTCGAGCTTGGCAGATTCTGGCACTGTGGAGGTGGGAGGGGGTGGAGGGGGACAGGTAACAAGAGAGCAGAAATGCAGGGATGAGGGAGGTAAAGGAACATTAGGATAAGCAGATTTTGTTGAGCGCAATTTAGAGCCAAAACAATTACTGACTGATTAGGCAATACAAACTCTGTTATTAGGATTTTTTATTTCATCCGTCATTATATTTGTAAGAAACAACCAACAACTGTGGATTACTGTTAGTTGCTGCCCTAGCGAGTACAACAAATAACAATAATCAGTATAACTTCAGGGAAGCTGCCTTGGCTGAGCATTTTCTACACTGTTTCTTCTCAGAGCCATGGGCACTCTTGGATGAGGTCCATCATTTTAAATTGAGAAAGGCAAATGAGGAGAAATACAGCAGAGCCTTGATGCTAGGCAGCGGTCAGTAAAAACACATGGCTGCTTTTTGGAGAACCAAGGAACTGTAATAATGTCAGGGTGACGCGATAAGAAAGTTTCAGGCTTTAAGGATGCCAAGACACACAACCGCCACGGTGCCAAGTCACAGATTAGAAGTGATGAGGAGGTCAAGTGCCAGATAATGGACTTAGATCTGCCTGCTGCATTATCCTGGGCCATTGTCTCCGTCAGGACAGTACTGTTAAGAGTCAGAGTGCTCAGCCCCATCAGAGTGAGCTACTCATGGTTTGTGGCAGGTTATGGCCCCCGAAATGATCACCGCTCAGTGCTCTACAAAAGCTGTTAGACATTAACTGCTTGTGAGGCTCCTGAAGAAAAGTGCTCATGTCCTACTAGCTTTAGTTACCCTTAGCAACAGATGAGACACACGCATGCACGTACGCACACATAGACAAATATTCCTTTACCTGTAATTACTAATTTGTGTGGCCACTTGGGGATAGCTAAAACAAGTTGAGAAGATTCAAATATAAGAAAGTTGTTAGCTAACAAATACCGAATTACACATCCAGCAGTTACAAAGAAACATTAAAGTTCATTTTGAGTCGTGTTTCTGGACACCTGCCGGATGTAGGTCCAATATTTGCTCTCTTTTTGGTGAAAAATTCTGAGGGAAACATCTGGATATTTTAACTGCTAACTATGTTTACAATCTTTTTGATGAAAACAGCTGCCTGCCGCCGACCTCAATGGTATAAGAGTGTTTGGACTGAACCAAAAAATAATTGGACAGCTAATCATAGGCTGAATCCAGCTATAAGGCTGAAGCTGAAGGGAGCGTCAGATTCAGGTGATAATTATCGGTAGGTAGATGCCTTTCCCGCATTTTGCATAAATGTTATTATCAATAAAAAATGAACTGTCAATGTGCACACTGCTAACAACATATGTCGCCTAATTTCCCTTTTTTTAAATGCCAAAAAGAGAAACCAAAGCTGTTAATTGTAAAGTCCTCAGCAGGCTAATATACTGTAGCTTAATGGGGAAGTGAAAGGTTAAAAGGTCACGGCTAAGTCAAACAGGATGATCAGGGTCGGTGAGCCGCTGCTTGGTGAGATGCATCATGGGAGACAAAGCACCCTGGATAATCGCCTCAGTACATTTCATTACATAATAAAACAAGCTGTTAAACTAGAATGTAAACAGGATGCAAGAAATGTGTTTTGAACCTACACTTACTTCACAACAACAAACATCAGCTGATCTGACATAATCTTCACTCAGCCAGAATGCTATTTCAGTTCCTCCTGGAAATAAAATACAGGACGAGGGAAGGAGTAGAAATATATTTAAAAAAAAACCTTGTCGAGGCAGCAACCAAAATAAAATAAAAATCTTCGTGTGGCCGACGTGAGTTATAAAGAGCAGTGTTTTGCCATTGGTTTTCGTCCCGAGTGTGTGCAGTGAAGAAATGACACACACATGCGGCCGACCGACACACAAAAACAAAGTTATGTAATGCTGAGGCCCACACTGAGGGGAGAGGATGTCGTGGAGTATGCATCCACTCGGTCTTGTAAATACTGACAGACATGTTTGCTCACCTAAAGCAACCATTTACCCTGTTTTCCTCTTTTTCTGTGTATGTTTATATCTGTCATGCATGTGTAGGCGCTGGGGGATTCCTCTGTCATTTGTGCACCCTGCGCTGAAGCCCCTCTGTAGGCTAAAGGCACCGTCTGCATGCGTGATCCAGTTTCACCCACATCTGTCCGTGTCTCCCTCTCCCTGCAGCTCAGGAATCAGAGGTNGGGGGGGTGGAGGGGGCTGGAGCTCGCCTCTCATCGGATTGCTCTACATCTGCTCCATTTCCCTTCTGTTGTTGTGCTACATCCCTCCCTCTCCCTTTCTCCTTCTTTCACTGTAATACTGCTATTATCCTTTTTGTTGTTATTACTCTATTAGGTGTGGCAGAAAACTCCACAGCCAATTCTCTTTGCTGATTTTAAGGTGCGATTTCCTCCAAAAATATGTGAATGTCGCAATGTATAATAATAGTTAAGCAGGCGGTCGTTATACAGTTGGGACTCTCTGATGTGTGACGTCGATTCTTCTGGAAGCTGGGGGAAGGGGGAAGCTTGCTGGATGCTCCGTTAGCCAATCAGAGGGGGGAGACGAGAAGTGAGAGGGAGGGAGAGCGAAAGCCAGAGCTGACGTACAGGAGGAAAGGAAGGAGGTAGAGCAAGGAGACTAAGTGTTGAAGAGAATGGTGTGTGTGTGTGTATGTGTAAGACAGTCTCACTGCCTGAAACCAGCTCGGCTCTAAATCCGCTTACAATTACAACACTTCTTTCCGATTGTACGCCACTACAATAAGAAGTGTCCTGCACATTTAGCAACGTCTAAGTACCTCATTCACTAAAGCAAAATGTCCTAATAATTGCATTATGGTTATATGAAAGCCAAAGATTGAGTCTAGTAATGAAAGGGACCAGGAGACAAGAACAAACAAATAGATATAAACCTCAGACATTTACAAGGTGTGGATTACAGTATTAAGCAATTCACTTTGTAGAAAAAAGTGAAAAGAGATCAGAGTCCCTTGCTCTGACAGTCTATTTGCAAAAACACAGTCCTCAGCTGTGCGAGGGCACCGGAGAATTCCCAGTTCATCAAAGATGCACATCAAATTGGGCCTTGGGGCTATGTGCGCTTCACGCAGAGGAAGACATCCCATTTTCGACTTTAAAAGGAGTCTTAATTTTCTGATAGAAAAGATGATAGCAAGCTCGTTTGACTGTTTAAGACCTTTTTTTTGGGGG